ACTGCTAAAGGAACTTCTGTAGGCAAGAAACACAAGAGAAGGAAAAGACCTACAACAACGAACCCAAAACAATTAAGAAAATGGGAATAGGAACATACATATCGATAATTACCTTAAAAGTAAATGGACTAAATGCTCCCACCAAAAGACACAGATTGGCTGAATGGATACAAAAACAAGACCCATATATTTGCTGTCTACAAGAGACCCACTTCAGACCTAAAGACACATACAGACTGAAAGTAAGGGGATGGAAAAAGATATTTCATGCAAATGGAAACCAAAAGAAAGCTGGAATAGCAATTCTCATATCAGACAAAATAGACTTTAAAATAAAGACTATTAGAAGGGACAAAGAAGGACACTTTGATCAAGGGATCAATGATCAAGGGATCAGTCCAAGAAAAAGATATAACAATTGTAAATATTTATGCACCCAACATAGGAGCACCTCAATACATAAGGCAAATACTAACAGCCATAAAACGGGAAATCGACAGTAACACAATCATAGTAGGGGACATTAACACCCTACTTTCACCAATGGACAGATCATCCAAAATGAAAATAAATAAGGAAACACAAGCTTTAAATGATACATTAAACAAGATGGACGTAATTGATATTTATAGGACATTCCATCCAAAAGCAACAGAATACACATTTTTCTCAAGTGCTCATGGAACATTCTCCATGATAGATCATATCTTGGGTCACAAGTCAAGCCTTGGTAAATTTAAGAAAATTGAAATTGTTTCAAGTACCTTTTCCGACAACAACGCTATGAGACTAGATATCAATTACAGGAAAAGATCGGTAAAAAATACAAACACATGGAGGCTAAACAATACACTACTTAATAACGAAGTGATCACTGAAGAAATCAAAGAGGAAATAAAAAAATACCTAGAAACAAATGACAATGGAGACACGACGACCCAAAATCAATGGGATGCAGCAAAGGCAGTTCTAAGAGGGAAGTTTGTAGCAATACAATCCTACCTTAAGAAACAGGAAACATCTCAAATAAACAACCTAACCTTGCACCTAAAGCAATTAGAGAAAGAAGAACAAAAAACCCCCAAAGTTAGCAGAAGGAAAGAAATCATAAAAATCAGATCAGAAATAAATGAAAAAGAAATGAAGGAAACAATAGCAAAGATCAATAGAACTAAAAGCTGGTTCTCTGAGAAGATAAAAAAAATTGATAAACCATTAGCCAGACTCATCAAGAAAAAAAGGGAGAAGACTCAATAGAATTAGAAATGAAAAAGGAGAAGTAACAACTGACACTGCAGAAACACAAAGGATCATGAGACATTACTACAAGCAACTCTATGCCAATAAAATGGACAACTTGGAAGGAATGCACAAATTCTTAGAAATGCACAACATGCCAAGACTTAATCAGGAAGAAATAGAAAATATGAACAGACCAATCACAAGCACTGAAATTGAAACTGTGATTTAAAATCTTCCAACAAACAAAAGCCCAGGACCAGATGGCTTCACACGCGAATTCTATCAAACGTTTAGAGAACACCTAACACCTATCCTTCTCAAACTCTCCCAAAATATAGCAGAGGGAGGAACACTCCCAAATTCATTCTATGAGGCCACCATCACCTTGATACCAAAAGCAGACAAGGATGTCACAAAGAAAGAAAACTACAGGCCAATATCACTGATGAACATAGATGCAAAAATCCTCAACAAAATACTAGCAAACAGAATCTAACAGGACATTGAAAGGATCATACACCATGATCAAGTGGGGTTTCTTCCAGGAATGCAAGGATTCTTCAATATATGCAAAACAATCAATGTGATAAACCGTATTTAAAAATTGAAGGAGAAAAACCATATGATCATCTCAATAGATGCAGAAAAAGCTTTTGACAAAATTCAATACCAATTTATGATAAAAACCCTGCAGAAAGTAGGCATAGAGGGAACTTTCCTCAACATAATAAAGACCATATGTGACAAACCCACAGCCAACATCGTCCTCAAGGGTGAACAAGTGAAAGCATTTCCACTAAGATCAGGAACAAGACAAGGTTGCCCACTCTCACCACTCTTATTCAACGTAGTTTTGGAAGTTTTAGCCACAGCAGTCAGAGAAGAAAAGGAAATAAAAGGAATCCAAATCAGAAAAGAAGAAGTAAAGCTGTCACTGTTTGCAGATGACATGATACTATACATAGAGAATCCTAAAGATGCTACCAGAAAACTACTAGAGCTAATCAATGAATTTGGTAAAGTAGCAGGATACGAAATTAATGCTCAGAAATCTCTGGCATTCCAATATACTAATGATGAAAAATCTGAAAGTGAAATTAAGAAAACACTCCCATTTACCATTGCAACAAAAAGAATAAAATATCTAGGAATAAACCTACCTAAGGAGACAAAAGACCTGTATGCAGAAAATTGTAAGACACTTTTGAAAGAAGTTAAAGATGATACAAATAGTTGGAGAGATAGACCATGTTCTTGGATTGGAAGAATCAACATTGTGAAAATGACTCTACTACCCAAATCAATCTAGAGAGTCAATGTAATCCCTATCAAACTACCACTGGAATTTTTAACAGAACTAGAACAAAAACTTTCACAATTTGTACGGAAACATAAAAGACCCTGAATAGCCAAAGCAATCTTGAGAACGAAAAACGGAGGTGGAGGAATCAGGCTCCCTGACTTCAGACTATACTACAAAGCTACATTAAACAAGACAGTATGGTACTGGCACAAAAACAGAAAGATAGATCAATGGAACAGGATAGAAAGCCCAGAGAGAAACCACACACATATGGTCACCTTATCTTTGATAAAGGAGGCAGGAATGTACAGTGGAGAAAGGACAGCCTCTTCAATAAGTGGTGCTGGGAAAACTGGACAGGTACATGTAAAAGTATGAGATTAGATCACTCCCTAACACCATACACAAAAATAAGCTCAAAATGGATTAAAGACATAAATGTAAGGCCAGAAACTATCAAACTCTTAGAGCAAAACATAGGCAGAAAACTCTATGACGTAAATCACAGCAAGATCCTTTCTGACCCACCTCCCAGAGAAATGGAAATATAAACAAAAATAAACAATTGAGACCTAATGAAACTTCAAAGCTTTTGCACAGCAAAGGAAACCATAAACAAGACAAAAAGACAACCCTCAGAATGGGAGAAAATATTTGCAAATGAAGCAACTGACAAAGGATTAATCTCCAAAATTTATAAGCAGCTCATGCAGCTCAATAACAAAAAAACAAACAACCCAATCCAAAAATGGGCAGAAGACCTAAATAGACATTTCTCCAAAGAAGATATACAGACTGCCAACAAACACATGAAAGAATGCTCAACTGCATTAATCATTAGAGAAATGCAAATCAAAACTACAATGAGATATCATCTCACACCAGTCAGAGTGGCCATCATCAAAAAATCTAGAAACAATAAATGCTGGAGAGGGTGCAAAAAAAAGGGAACCCTCTTACACTGTTGGTGGGAATGAAATTGATACAGCCACTGTGGAGAACAGTATGGAGTTTCCTTAAAAAACTATAAATAGAACTACCATATGACCCAGCAATCCCACTACTGGGCATATACCCTGAGAAAACCGAAATTCAAAAAGAGTCATGTACCAAAATGTTCATTGCAGCTCTATTTACAATAGCCCAGAGATGGAAACAACCTAAGTTTCCATCATTGGATGAATGGATAAAGAAGATGTGGCACATATATACAATGGAATATTACTCAGCCATAAAAAGAAATGAAATTGAGCTATTTGTAATGAGGTGGATAGACCTAGAGTCTGTCATACAGAGTGAACTAAATCAGAAAGAGAAAGACAAATACCATATGCTAACACATATATATGGAATTTAAGAAAAAAAAAATGTCATGAAGAACCTAGGGGTAAGACAGGAATAAAGACACAGACCTACTAGAGAATGGACTTGAGGATATGGGGAGGGGTATGGGTAAGCTGTGACAAAGTGCGAGAGAGGCATCAACATATATACACTACCAAACGTAAGGTAGATAGCTAGTGGAAAGCAGCTGCATAGCACAGGGAGATCAGTTTGGTGCTTTGTGACCGCCTGGAGGGGTGGGATAGGGAGGGTGGAACGGAGGGAAATGCAAGAGGGAAGCAATATGGAAACATATGTATATGTATAACTGATTCACTTTTTTATAAAGCAGAAACTAACACAGCATTGTAAAGCAATTATACTCCAATAAAGATGTAAAAAAAAAAAAAAAAACTGTATCCAAAACAGACAATAATTTCTAATTTGTTATTTGTTTAATTTATAAATTCTGAGGAATTACTTTTAATAATTATTTAAAGTGATATTTTAATGATATATATATTTTTTTCATATTTAGAAAAAGCCAAGGGTCCTTCTGGAATCAATGGGACTAGATTGTCCCTCATCTTTCTTTTATGCTTCAAATATATTTTATTTTCCCCACCTCCATTCTAAATTAGCCTGTTATTTTATCCATCTTGTCAAATCACTGTTCTCCATCTTAGAAAGGAACAGAAAAGCTAAAGTGATACATTAATTCCTGGTAATGAAAAGGGGTATATTTACTGGCCTTTTTTTTTTTTTTTTTTGCGGTACGCAGGCCTCTCACTGTTGTGGCCTCTCCCGTTGCGAAGCACAGGCTCCGGACGCGCAGGCTCAGTTGCCATGGCTCACGGGCCCAGCCGCTCCGCACCATGTCGGATCTTCCCGGACCGGGGCATGAACCCATGTCCCCTGCATTGGCAGGCGGACTCTCAACCACTGTGCCACCAGGGAAGCCCTGGCCTTTTTATATATAATGTAATCACTTTATGTCTCTAAAGTCTAAAGAAAGGAGTGACAACAAGAACAGTCCTAGAATAATAAGTCCAATTAAACAAACAAAAGAAGGCAAAAACAGAAAATTTAAAAAGCAAAAGAAGAGCTTTTTACATTATTCTTTCTTCCCTGATTCTGTTTCATTTTCAGTTTTTCAAAACAGAAGAAAAGAAGGAAGGGAGGAAAAAAGAATTCACATAAAACCAAACGTTCCATAGTCCGGGGAGATGGTGGGTAACATGTTTTCTTAAAATGTTTCTACTTTCTCACTTATGTTCTTCACTTTTGGCTTTTTTTTTCATCCTCCCCAGGCACCTGGGCTTTGATGGAGAGGCAACTCAGTAGCTGCCATGAATCCAATGCCACACGTTACCTATATAATTAGAGGCCACATCATAATTACTGTCACGTATATAATCAGTGTTCCTGCACACACTCAATTACTCAAGCCCTATTGCTGATTGATAGGCAGAAATATGTTTTGTCTTTCATTTTATGAGACAGGCAATGGATGTAAATTTACTGTTTTGTGCAGATGCTATCTCATCATAACATAATTAGTCAATTAATGAACAAATATTACTGAGCATTTAATACGACTCCAGAATGTGACACAGGTTTGTTGCCCACGGCTAAGTGGATAGAATACATTTCCTGATGATGTAGTGGCTAGTACTAATTTTAACTTTTGCCTGAAATAGAGTAATGTATTACAAATGAAAATGCATGTTGCATGTGTAAGTTTTGCTTAAATACTGATTTGTAATTCTAAAAGAAAAATGGAAGACGACTGTAATAAAGTATCAAAAATATGGGAAGTATGTATGTTGTGAACCTGCTTTATGTATCAAACACTGGTTAGACCTGAATGGGTGCCCTTTGTGTGTAATTGGACAGAATAGTTGAAGATCTACAGATGAACCTGAGCATCGGGGGTACTGTACTTAGCATATGGCTGGTAACAAACTTATCAGAACCAGTCACTGAGATTCACATTACACAAGAGAGGAAATGCTATGGATGCAATAACATTTAGATTCAAAAAAACTTTTTCTTTGCACCAAAATTAAGCATAAGATATCTTCCCAAGCCACATTTTCTGTATGGAAACAAAATGCCTGAGAATCCAAGGCCCCGATATTGTTTTCATGTCATTAGAACAATGTTCATCTTTTACAATCTTTAAAATTGACTCAATAGGTAATTTTTCCTAATCTCTGTTATTAGAGATTTGCTGGTCCTTGAAGCAGTATTGCAGAATGAGGGTCAGAATATGGAAACTGGAGCCTGACTACCTGCCTTCAAATCCCTTTCTGTCATCTATTCATTCCTGTAAATGTAATTTCTCTTTGTCAGTTTTATCATCTGTAAAAGGATCATGATAATAGTATTAGGTACCTCCTAACTTTTTGTGAGAATTAAATTAGTTAATCCATAGAAAGTGCTTAAAACAGAAGTAAACCCTAGATATAGTTTTAGCTATTATAAAATGTATTTTGTCCACCCAACTGGGGTAAAAGGAAAAGGCTGAATGTTGAGTAGGGGGTGAAAGATGCGGGGTAAGAGAATGGAGAGAAAGTACATAAAAATACTTTCTAAAGGTCAAAATAGCTCTTTCGTTAGTCACTCGACAGATTTTGTTTTCTTAGAACTACAGGTCTTGAATAAACACTCCCTAAGACAGCAAGATGAAAGACCCCAGGCTATGGAGAATAGACAGCGGTGGGGCATCAGGAGTGAAAAAGGGAAAAAAAAGCTGGTCATTTTCACCCATGTGACAAGTTTGTTTGCAACATAAAGTATTTGACTTTAGCCTCATATTTTAAGCCACATGTTATATATTTATTTAACAGACGAGTAGATTGTAGCGCAAATTCATCTTTTGTGCTTTCTTTTACGTGTTTCCTAAGCCATATTGTAAAGTCATACACTAAAAGTGCTTCCTCTTTTTGAAATGAAGATTTTAAGATAAATGAGAATTTTTGTCACAGATATTATCAGCATAAATGAGACAGAATAAAAAATGTTTTTTCTTTGTTTTCCTTTGAGGATGGTAAAAATAAAATAAAGATAACTTGCACAAAGACCGCATCAATAAAAAATATTGCCAGGCATCCTGGGTTTAAAGTCCTTTCTCAATGTGTGATCTTAATCAAATTGTTTAATCTTCCTAAAATTTGGTTTTCCTATCATAAAATGGGGATCATAATAGTCCTAGTTTGTAGAATGTTTGAAACATTCAAATGAGTATATACAAAGTTCATAGAACCGTGCATATAACTACCCACCAATGTTTGCCTGTCTAGTGTCATCATCAGCAATTGTGAATGCGGTTGAGCACTTTTGTGGGTAACATTCCATGAACTTGTCTGGTGTCCCACGCTCTTGATCTTAAAGTCAAGCCTACTTGCTCCCAGCCAAACCCACGTGCCCTGGATGCATTCACAAACACAGCAATAGACAGAGGGGCTTACTGCAGCCATCTTTCTGGAAAACTACCAAACTATACTAACAATAAAGATACTCATTTTGAAAAACTCAATATTTGCCCTTACATTTTTTTTAAACAAGAGGATTTTAATGCAGGGAATTGTTTACACAGGTGAAGAGGAGCTGAAAAGCCAAAGGGGGAACAATGAGGTAACCCAGAAATTGACAACAGCCAGAAATGTCTACCACCCTCTGCTAGAGACCCAAGGGAGGGGGCTCAGAAACAGAGTCCAGAGGCTGAAGTCCCTTGTTGGAAGTTGGATCTATGAATGGTTTATCCTGTGGGAGCTGAAACCACCAGACACATGCAGATGCTTCTGGAGGTACCACCCGGACAGAGAGGGAGGTGGAGAAACTCCCAAGCTTCACCCCTCCTCCCACCACCCATCTCCACCCAGTGGCCCCCATGAGCCAAAGTCAGCTGACGTGGGAGCCTGGGAAACTCAGGCTGCAGGGGATCTAAGAATCCTTAGATCTAACGCAGACATAGAGAATGGACTTGAGGACATGGGGAGGGGTAAGGGTAAGCTGGGACAAAGTGAGAGAGTGGCATGGACATATATACACTACCAAATGTAAAATAGATAGCTAGAGGGAAGCAGCTGCATCACACAGTGAGATCAGCTCCATGCTTTGTGTCCACCTAGATGGGAGGGGTAGGGAGGGAGGGAGGGAGACACAAGAGGGAGGGGATATGGGGACATATGTATAAGTATAGCTGATTCACTTTGTTATACAGCAGAAACTAACACAACTTTGTAAAGCAATTATACTCCAATAAAGATGTTTAAAAAAAAAAACACAAACAACAACAACAAAAAAACGAAAACAAAACAAAAAACGAATCCTTAGATGTAAGCTGAGGATTACCCCCAGAACGAAGTAGATAATAAAGAGAAAAAATAAAAGTATGCTCTGGCACAAGGCCCACGCTTCAGTCTCTACCAACTTACCAAACTGGTCTTCGGTTTCATGGCTGATATTGTAGTAAGCACAGATATCGAACATCTAATGATTGCTAATAGAGATTTCCATCTTCCTTGCCCTTACTTTCAAGGCTGGAAGTAACTTGGAAGGCTGGGGGGACAAAAAGGAAGCAAAGATGTGCCTTGTACGTCTCTGATCTGAGATCTTCTCTGGTGCTTCACATATTGTCTCATGTGACATGGCTTTAGCGTCTTTAAATTAGTTTAGCTTTTAGATATTTTACCAAGTTAAAACAATGACTGAGTTATGAGTCAGGATACCTGGGGCAGGAGAAATGTCCATGGTCTCTCTCACCCTTGGAAATACAATAGCAATGAAAATCATTTTCTTTTCTGAGGGAAGAGACATCTCTTTTTCATGATAAAATAAAAAGTGGAATTTATACAGCATTATTTATCCTATAGTCGCTGCAATTAGGAATCCCAGTTAGCGGAGCGATACCTTGGTTCAGAGAAGCATGGGTTCTGCCTTTTCAGAAGACTAAGTTTCTGTTCAAACCTTTTCCTTTTAGACATCATTTTGCATGAGAATGAACTTGCTCTGCTTCCCCTGCTACACTTTGAGCTCCTGGAAGCCAAAGACCAGGCTTCGCTGTGTGTTTTACTCCCATTCTCTGTTATCAGTATAGGTCCTTAATTTTAACAAATCAATCAATCAATCAATTAATAGATTGATTCAAGAAGTTCTGAAACCTCTTCTGAACAGTCCCACTCAGATCATATGATCTTTTGCTATATTTCCTAAGGATCAGATATGACAACTATACAACTAAAATCTTCCAGAACAGTCCAGATTTTGAATAATCTATGTTACTATTATATCAAATGTCAGAAAATATGTGTCAGCTTTTGGCTTGAGAAATATCAGTGCAGGGGATAAACTTCATACATCTGGGTCCAAAAACTCTGTAACTTCAAGAGCCTCTACTCACCCTTAGTGCATTAGGCAATGTGACACAAAGCAAAGAGTATAACTTTTGTAATCTAAGTGTCCTGGGTTCAAATCCTTGTTCTATTCTTTATTAGAGGTTTTCCATGATTCTTGTTGCCTTTGGAAAACACTGTTCAATCAAAATCTTACATGGAAACCAAATACATATCATAGATAAAGGTAGAATTTTCTCCTGGGAGCAAGATGAAAGACCCAGACCTCAGCCCACTTGGTTTTCCCTCTATCAGGCCTAACTCACTGCTGTTTCCCACTGGGCCCACAAGGGCAAAGTTCTGTGGGACAAAGTTTGAAAACCACTGATTTTGTCTTTCAGAATTTGAGTTTCATCATCTCCAAATTGGGAATGAAAATACTTACCTGAATCAAGTGTGTTTATCATGAAAAGTTTTCACAGCCACAGCATTGATTTAGTCTTTCATCTTCAGATGCTGTCTTACTCTTGGAAGCTTTTTCTAGCTGGGAGGAATAGATTTGTGAACAGTACAGTTTTCAATTCAATAAGTCCTGCCTCCTCACATTTTCTCCAAATTCTGCTTGCAAATTAAACAGTATTTTCTTTAGCTTACTTCTTTCTTCCTAGAGCTTGACATACAGAGCTAAAAAATTCAAGGGGAAGGGAGTTAGACTCCAGTTTTTGATGTAAAGTGGACCATGGGTGTAAGAGATGAGTGAAATGGATGGGGGCCATCTTTGCAGACAATTTACCACAGTCAGACACAAGATGACCCTAGGCAACAGTTTTACCCGTTGGTTCCCACACACAAAACATGGATCACCAGTTTTGCAGCCTCCAATAGCAGTTTGAAATATTTCCAGCCTTCGCTAACAGTTCTTGCCAACCAGTCTCAAAGCCAATGAAACACATTTTCAGTTTTTGTTACCTACACACAAGTTCTGCTACTAATTTCTATATCAATTACTTATTGATACCTGAAAAACCACCCCAGAAGCAAAAGGTAAAACAACAACTATTATATTTGCTTAGGATTCTCTGGGCTAGCAATTTGGGTCGTGTTCAGCCAGGTGTTTTTTTTTTTGCTGGTTTCACCGGGAATACTTTATGGACTTGTACTTTTATGCTCACTCAGTTGTGACCACACGATCTACAATGGCCACACACATGTGCCTGGTCTTTGTCAAACTGTCAGCTATGGCGTCTCTGTTCTCTTCATTTCAAGATGGCTAAGCCAGGATCATTGCCATTTGGTCATAGTGTTCCCTCTACCAGCAAACGAGGCTAAGGCCAAGTGTGCAGACACCTGTCAAACTGCTGCTTATGGAGCATTTGCTACAGCTGCAATGCCAAATTCAAGCACAGATCCAAAGGTTGAAGAAATACATTGCTTCTCTTGATGGGGAGTGTGCCAAAGCCAAATTGCAGAGATGTGTGCATACAAGGATGGGAAGAACTGCTGAAGCTCTCTTTGAAAACAGTCTTCCACAGATTTATTGTAATCACTTGTGAGCTGTTTTTAGAAAATGTATTTTTGTCCTGATAATTAAGTAATGAAGCCTAGGAAAGTCTCATTTATAAAAATGAGTAATAATGGATTCAAAGTTGTTCAGGAACTGTTTCTCAATGACTTGAATTTAGAAATACTTTCTTAGAGGTGAGAAAGGAATGTGAAATTGTATCTTATATCTTGAGAAGTATTCCTTATCCTAGGGTCTCTTGGCTGAAGGCTAAAATATCCTTGGAAGAATACTGACAGCTCACGATTTCTTGAGAGACTATAGAATCAGACTTTAAAACTTGTAGGAACAGAGACAGCTAAAAAGAATATGAAGCAAAGAACCCAACAGTGGTCTGTTAGTAGGTATAGTGCAGCCTCTACTAGGACATAATGAAATCTCAAACATTCTGAGTATATTTGCCTCTCTACCTCAGTTTTAGTTTCCAGAGAGCAATGATCTGAAATAACCTACCTTTGATCACATACTGTTCTTTACTCAGCTGAGGGCCAGGCAAGTGGATATGGTTTTCATGAACTAAATCCAGTATGAACTAGATATTTCTTCAAAAGGTGTTTATGGTCTCACAGGGAGGAATAAACAGATGCTGGTAGCCAATAAGCAGCAAATGTTACTTACTGTGTCTAATGAAGGTGGTCATGCTTGGGGTAGAGGTATCTGACAAGTCAGTCCCAAAGGGGCAAGCAAAAGTTTGATAATTGTTTCTTTAAATTGTTGAAAAGCATATGATAATTTGCCCTGATTTCGGGGACAAGAGAAACTTCTTCATTTTCCTTCTGGATCAACATTGAAGACTTTAGGTCTTGGCATGGAGCATGTGACTAGAGTGAACAGAACAACTGAAAACTATTTATTATAAGTCCTGTGGCTCATTTTCTGTCCTTTGGGATTCCTGTCACTCAGGAAAGGGAAAGAGGCAAAGCATCACAGTACCTGATGAATTAGCACACTGTCTCTTGCAGCGTCATCCCCACGTGCCTGTGTTACCTGCCCTCTCAGCGAACCCTGCAGGGCTGAGGTCCATAACTCCACCTCCAGATGTGGCTGTCTGTTGTGTGGTGGTTTGGAATCTGATGACTCGACACCATCATCCCAGGTAACAGCTGGCTGTCTTTGGATTTCTGTCATCTCCTAATGTTCCATTAGCCTCTCACAGCTGGCCTCCCTATGCACAATCAGCAGTTTGGCTAATCTCTCCCTGATCTCTCCCCTTCCTGCAGGATGTTCATCATTAATGCATCCTTGCTCTGCTCCCCCCTCCTCTCAGCCTACCAGTGCTCTCTATTAGTGCATGCTGTGCCAGAGGCAACCCATCCGCTGTCTGCTCAGCACCAGCTTTGCTGTGTTTCAGCACTGTTGGGCCCTAAGGCAGAGTGTGCCCAGGACCATTAGATACTGGGTTGGAAGCACTGTTAGGATGCCTACTTGTGTATGAACGTGAGCTCTACGAGAGCTGAGCCCTCATTCCCTCATTGACCTGCTAACATGCTCTTGTTCAGACTCCAATATTTGTAAGTTGATGCTCCCTTGCCTGGCTATACCTCAAATTAATTACAGTAATAAAAACCACAGCAACAGTGGTTAATACAATAATAATTAAAGACAATATCATTGGGGCTTCCCTGGTGGCGCAATGGTTGAGAGTCCGCCTGCCGATGCAGGGGACATGGGTTCGTGCCCCGGTCCTGGAGGATCCCACATGCCATGGAGCAGCTGGGGCCCGTGAGCCACGGCCGCTGAGCCTGCGCGTCCGGAGCCTGTGCTCCGCAGCTGGAGAGGCCACAACAGTGAGAGGCCCGAGTACCGCAAAAAAAAAAAAAAAAAAGACAATATCATGATAATAACAATAGTCAATTTCATGTCTAGGGTGTTAACTGTTCTGAATCTGTGCTAAAAGCTAGTCTCCGATTAAATCCTAACATCTCTGCGAGTTCGGTAATGCTGGTGAGGATATACCAGGTCACAGAACGTTTAATAAAGCTGCCCAAGGCCATCCCACTGGTAAGAAGATATTGTACTTGATCCTGACTTCCCTATTTTCTTTAAAGCTTAAACTTTTAACCATTATGCATAATAATAGAATAGCTACCAGGTATGTTGCTTGGGCTTTTACCTGTATCAACATTTCAAAATTAAATGTTATCTAGTATTCAAACCATTAGAAAGGTTGATATACATTAATTTGGTCTATTTAATTATATAGTACCTTAAGTCTGTGTGGATTTAAAAATAAAACATCAAAAGGAAACATCAAAAGAATTTCCAAGTGTAGTTCTTCAGATAACCAAGGACACTTCCTCCCTCTCTTCTATTTTGAAGGGCAGTGTAAGTGGAAAGGTTTAAGAAGCACTGATGTTTTGAGACTATTTGATTAATAATTATTTCCTCAGTCAGAATAAATTAGAGTGTAACCTGCAAGAAAATTGGGGTCATGCCTACTTAGCTGTCACAATGCTTAGGATAGTACTTGGCACACTGTGGATATGCATAGTTGTTTAATGAAGAAGGGAAGAAAAGAAAGAAAAAAGAATGATGGAGGAAAAGAGGCATCTCCAGTGTTGACAAACCCATTCCTATCAACAGTCAGTACAGACAGTTCACATCCATGCTGGTGGTTTCCCCATGTCTCTCTGTCTGGGGGCATTCTTTGCAAATAGGAAAGTTAGTCCTCTAAACTGGGTAGTTCAGAGTCCAGAGAGTTGAATCCCCAAGAGGTTCTCTTACTGAGTAATTCAAGTTTGTGGATAAATAACCCAATTTCTTAACCCCTCAATGAATGACTCTGAGTGGAAGGAAGAAAGAAAGAAAGTAGGAAGAAAAACAATGGAAGAGAGTATAAATGAAGAAATAAAAACAGAAAGAAAAAGAGCAAAAGGGAGGAATGGAAACAAGGAAGAAGGGAGGGAGGGAAAGAGAGAAAGGGAAAAAAATGACAGAAAGGAAAAAAGAAAGAGAGAAAACAAAAGAAGAGGAGAAGAAAGCTAGAGGGGAGAATAGAAGAAAAATAAGTGGAAAGGAGGGAAGAAAAAAGTGAAAAAAGAAAAAAATGAGAGGCCCACAAGGAAACAAGGAGAAAGAGACTAGGTAGCAAGTAAGAAAGAAAGGACCTTAAATATTTATAAAAAGAAAAAAAAAGGGTAGTGATTTTGAGCAGAAGAAACAGGGATTTAGAGACTCTGATGTGGGGAGACAAAACTTTTTCCTAAACAAACTGAAATATCATCGTGTTTCTGTTCTTTGGTGCAAAAGAACGTTTCTTCACGTCTAGTTATGATGGCTAGCTCAGTACTGAAGAGCATATCCTGGATTATAGCAAGAAGGTCTTGTTTGTCTCTTGAAGGACTGCTTTGCTTGTCTTCCTGTACACATGCCAAATTTCCCCTATGTATGCATGTGTCTGGGGTTCCTTCGTTATTTCCCAAGAATGGCAAGCATAGAAAATACTGGTTGGGACAGCTGTAGGTTAAGCAGTCACCACCTGGAGCATCTCAGTGCATTTCAGGAGACTGGGGACAGGTGTAAGGTACGTTCCCTGTATCAGGGAAAACTCAGAAGTCAGAAACAAATTTACTGAACAAGACAAATTCCTGTCATTGGCATGATATTTCCATGATGTTAAATATATTCTTATTTATGAGTGAGAAAACTTTATCTGTCTCAAGATAATTGTTTATAGCCCAGCCCTCAGGAAAATTATTTTTGTTTTCTTTTCAAACTTTTACACTTTAAGTACTTATTTTATTTCCCCTAGACCGGAAAGATTGACCCAACCTCAAAGACAGGAGTGAGAATCAAGAATCAGCCGTTTAGAGTCAGCTCTGCCACCAACTTGTAACATGGCCTGATGAGCTACTTCACTCCCCTATGTCTTCCTCCAGAGAAGTTTGGATAAATTCCTCAGTATTCCAAGTGAGCTTTTTAGAGCACCTTCTTGGGCCTCCAAGAACTGGGGAGATGGGGAGGGAGCCAGACCCTATAGCCATGCTTCACCTAAAGCAATCCTGATGATTGATTTCTCCATGTTGAGGTTTGAATAAGTTTTCACTCAAGGAAAAGTTTCTGCTAAAAATATACATAATGTTAATATTAATGTAATATTAATTACAAAGTAATAATATTAAAAATATTTAAGGTCCTTTTTGAGTTTTATTCTATCAATAAATTCTAATTCTATAAACAAGCAAATAAACCAAAATAAATACCCTGTATTAAGAATTTAAAGCAAAAATGGCATTTTCTTTAAATGGAAGTGGACAGAATTATTTTAAAGTGAAATGTAAGAATATATTAAATTATAGAGACACTTGTAGAGACACCTGACAAATATGTTTCTGTGGGTTTGATGACTCTTAAAACCCCTTGTCAATTTCCCCAGCAGACTAAAAGGAGGGCTGCTCAGCTTTCTGAGAAGCACTGCAAAGGTATGTCTTCAGAAAGGTAGTTTAGGGGATGTGCCGCCTTCCCATCTCTGTGCTCTTATCAAAATGTCAGAGGAGCACACATGTTGAGATTTCTTTCCCCTTCCACGTGCGTTAGCCCTCAGTTTGTGGATTAGATGGCTATCACGGAGACTGAGAGTAGAAAAAGATATTAAAATATTTCTTGCCTTAAGTTCCCTTTGTGTTTTGTCCAGGCCACAAGGGACGACAAAAATGCTTCTCTCCAGGGTTGGCAGTTTCCAAGAGATCAAGCAGAGTGTGGGTCAAGGAAGAAGCAGCTTCTCAGGGACCCTCACGCTCCAGCAGTTTTCTTGATCCGTCTATTAAAGAAGCAGGAAAAGGTGAAAGGTATTAAGGAGATGAAATGTCAGGGTAGGTGGGAGTTCCTTGCTAACTTGGCAGCTCCAAATTGGTTTAAGAAAGGGTCCCTGGGTAAGAGCAGCAATTATGTGAAAATGGAAGTATTCCTGGATATTTTGAACGCCATCAAATACTTCACCATTTCTATGACTCCTAGGGACAGCAGACTGTGTTTTGTTTGCTCTGGGGTTTACAGTCATAGCCCCTTACATCAGGCTTCAATTCGCACCTGCAGATAAGACATTGTTCTGGGCCTCTCAGGCTCCCACAGATCTTCTGAGGTAGATGGAAAACTTTATCCCCAAAGAGAGAAAACTGTCTCTTTGCAAGTAGACTGTTCTTATCAAAGAAAATAAGACACTTTATTGTAAACAATGATCAATTAAAAATCCTGGCTCTACCTTTACTAGCTGGGTGACCGTAGGCAAGTTACTTCATCTAAGTCTGTTTTCTTATCTGTAAAATATGTGTAATAAAACTTAAATCATGGGATTGTAAACTTGCAAAGAGCTTAACACATTACCTAGTACATAGTTTAATTTTGTTACTAACAAAATTCAAAGCACTCTAATAGTGTGGAATTAAACTATGGGACCTAAGGAAAAGACACAATTATAAATGTTTTCTGAATGTCTCAGTTACCAATTGGTCCTTTTATTTTATTTTTGGTAATAAGTTATTTAAAGCAGGGGTTCCCAAGCCCCGGTACTGGTCCGCGTCCTGTTAGGAACCGGACTGCACAGCAGGAGGTGAGCGGTGGGCGAGTGAGTGGAGCTTCATCTGCCGCTTCCCATTGCTCCCCATCGCTCCCCATCGTTCCCCATCGCTCCCCATGGCTCCCCATCACTCACATTACCACCTGAACCATCACCATCCCTGCCCCCCACCACCCCGTCTGTGAAAAAACTGTCTTCCACGAAACCGGTCCCTGGTGCCAAATTGCTGCGGACCGCTGATTTAAAGTGTTATCCAATCCTCATTGTCACTATAAACACAGTCTGTATCTATTGTCGGTATGTAACAATAAACATTAAAAAAGATTTGAATAACAAGCTTTTTTAAGTAATAAGGAGCCGCTGAATGTATTTGAGCATGAGATTTGTTAATTCCTTGAACAGATATCTAACACATGCTTGCCATGGGACAACCACTCTTCTAGAAAACGGTGACAAAGTGATGCAACAGACAAAGCTCGTGAAGTTTACATTCTCCTGGTGATAAAGTGAGGAAGGATGTTCTATAATAAATGATAATCTGGCAAAAAAGTTCAGGGATTTCACAGAGTGAAAAGAAAACTGAAGAAGGGGTGGTGCTTCGAAGACTATTCCACTAGTCCAGGTAACAGACAATGTTTGCTATACCAGCGTGATGGCAGTCAAAGAGTCAAGGAGGAAATGCGTGGAGGAAGGCTTAGATGGATGGAAAGGTGATAGGAAGCAAAGGGGAAATGTTGACTTGAAGGGAGGGTAAAGCTTTTGGTTTCAAACTGTTGACAAAGTGTCCCGTTACAGCAGCCATAAATGGGAGACCGTAGCTCAGGAGAGACTTCAATAGTTTAGCTTAATTTGAAACAGGATAGTTCTGAAGTTGACAACATCATAAAAGGGCAGAGTAGAATGAAAAAAGAGAAAAGCAATTAAATAATTTTATATAATTCATCACCCTCAAACAATGAAGAAGGTAAATGAGATTACCCAGTAGAACTTTTGGGAAAATCAGCCTGTTGGAAACGTCTACATTGAAAACTGCTTAAAATTCCCAAAACACCTTTTCTGTTGTTTTACCAAAGGGAAAATATGTCACAATCCATGACAAGAATTAGAATTT